GGAACCAGCGGCTGAGTAGTATCTATGCGCTTCGCCTCTGCCTCTGGCGAGGGCGGAGGCAGCACCACATATGCATCGGTGACAGTCCATGCGAAGGAATGATAATGTGTCAATATGTGATACCATTGATGTAACACAAAAGAGAATGAACTTTTTGTTAATTTTAATGCAGAATTTTTCCTTTCAAAACATGAAATCAGAAAATGTGAAGAAGAGGTTGGTGCGACTCCGGCGATAATTGGGGAATTGTGTGTTGCTAGCATGCTGCTCCTTACCTCCAGCTCCCTCCGTACGTGGGAGGTTGCGCTAGCCCTTGGCGGATTATGCCAGCATAATATTTGGCATCATCTTGGGATTTCGTCAAAAAATTATGCTCCGGCATAATAGGGATTCTAACGTGTAAGGTCGGCATAATCTTTCGGTTTAGACAAAAATTATAGCTTTGTCAGAAAGCCTGCAGATGTTTTTTTTAAATACTCCTTGTCATAGCCCTTGGCGGATTATGCCGGCATAATGTATTTGGCATAATCTTGGGATTTCGTCAAAAAATTATGCTCCGGCCTAATATACGGATTCCAGCGTGGAAGGTAGACACAAATTATGCTTAGGGCATGGCCGTGTGTGTACATGTATGCGTGGTTTCTCAATCCTCTATGTACAGCGTGAATACATAGTGGAACCGAGCATAATTCAGCATATTTGTTGGCATAATTGTGGCATAATCAAAAGCATAATTTGACGATTGACCCAGCAAAGTCCGCCAATGGCTACATGTAGGTTGCGCTATCAGAATCAGGGAGTAGTACAATACTACTCCCTGATCAGAATCAGAAAGTCAAAGGTAACATTTTTTTAGAGAGAAAATATCGTGAAAATTTCAAAATGTTGAACCTGAAATTAAGTCAAGTATTTAAAAAAAAGTCAAGTGTGTCCTTAAAAAAAAACATTTTCAGCCAGGTTTACAAATAACATGGCCAGGATCGCGCAGGTTGGAGAGGCTTAATGATTTGTTTGAGCTTGGCATATCTGGTTCAGCATTAGTTTGGTTTGCCGACTATTTGTCCAATCGTCTCCAAATAGTGCACATTGCTGAGAACTATAGCCCTCCTTTCCCCTGCATGTGTGGCGTTCCCCAGGGCTCTGTTCTTGGTCCGCTGCTTTTTGTACTCTATGTTCGTTCGATCCAGTCCATTGTCTCCGAGTTTTGTGTGAAAGTTATTCAATTTGCTGACGATATTCTATTGTATGTTTGCGGTACGCAGAAGAATGCGCTTAGCAACTCCCTGTCTGCAGCTGTCTCAGCCATTAGTACCTGGCTGTCAAACCGCAATTTAATTCTAAATGCTCGGAAGACACAAGTGCTCTTCCTGTCTACGCCACATATTACTGACCACCAATTTGCAGTCTACTGCCATGGAGTGCAGCTCAAGCAAGTGACATGTGCAAAGTACCTTGGAATACATTTGGACCAGGATCTTTCTTGGAGCACTCAAGTTGATTCTATGGTCTCCAAACTAGCCAGTAAAATTGGTATTCTGTTCCGAAATCGACACAATATTCCGCTGACTTGCCGAGAAACCTTCGTAAAGTGCCTAGTGTTGCCAGATTTTCTATATGCATCAAATTGTTTTTCTGCTGGCCTTTCCTTAACCCAGTTAGGTAGGCTTGAACGAATGCTAAAGCGAGCTTTGCGTTCAGTGTACGATACTGGTTTTTGTAGCCCATCAAGCCCTTTATTTGCGAGACTTGGTCTAGATCGTTTGGCAACCATGTATTGCAAGAAATTACTGTATCTGACGTGGCGCTGTTTGGAAGGCCGCTGTAGTGTCACATTAAGTCAAATGTTCGAGCGTTTAAATGATGGTCTTGCAACGCGCAGCCTTGCATCACGCACTCTTAAGTTGCCCATGCTCAGAACTGCCTTTGCCCGTCATGGCGCTTCCTTCCAATGTGCTAAGCTGTGGAATGATTTGCACCCTCTAGCTCGCTGTGTGGACAACTCCGCCCGTTTTAAGAAACTGTTACCCCAATGCCTTGCTTTTTCACGCTAGTAATTATGACTTTCAGCTATGCAAAATGCGAACGTGATCACCTATTCCATACCGGTAGTCTATTATATTAATTGTTCATATCTTTTTGCATCTTTCCCTCGAGTGGGTCTATTGTTATTAGGCAATTGTCTGTTATAGTCACCACTATAAATAAAAATCCAATCCAATCCAAAAAAAATTAACCCTGTGTCCCTATGCCAACAATACGAATCGTCGGTTCGGATGACCAACCCTTTGTCTCGGAGAATCTTGTCGGGGGATGGCTCCATCGGTGGCTCGGTAGTATTAATCAGATCGGCCAAGAGAGATGCCAAGGCATCTTCTCGACGTCATCAGAAACTGGAATTCGACGCGATATCGGGCAGTGCGTCGGAGTCGCTACGACATGTCATAGACGTCGCGAAGGAGAAAGGGTCGTCAAGCTGGCTGACGTGCCGTCCACTTAAGAAATATCATTTTAATTTTATCAAAGGGAGAGTTTTGGGACGGACTCTGCCTCCGTTACGGATGGACACCGGCCAGGGTACCGTCACACTGCTCTTGCGGCCAAGAAGCAACTGTCGCGCATTCCCTGTCGTGCCCCTATGGAGGGTTTCCCTCCATTAGACACAATGGTATTCGGGACGTCACGGCCCGGCTGCTGGACGAGGTGTGCACCAGTGTGTCCATCGAGCCCTTGCTGCAACCGCTGACGGGGAGCGTCTTAGCTACCGGACCGCAAATGTGGAAGACCGTGCCCGGTTGGATGTCGCTGCCAATGGTTTGTGGGGCAGTCGTTTTGAGCGTACACTGATAATTGATATACGGGTTTAATCCTCACTCACGCTCAAATCGATCTGCACCACATACTATTGTGTACCAGCGACATGAAAAAGAAAAGAGAAGGCACTATGAGGAGCGGGTGAGGCAGGTTGAGCAAGCCTCCTTTGTTCCGGCGGTCATGTCAGCCAGTGGCGGAATGGGTCCAGCATCAACAGCACTGTATAAACGAATTGTTCATCTGTTGGCTGAGAAGAGGGGTGAGCATTACTCTCATGTTATGGCATTTGTTAGATGCAGGATTTCCTTCAGCCTTCTGAAATCCTGTATCATGTGCATTCGCGGTTGTAGGCGTTTAAATTTTTAGTTTGAAATTTGCACCCTCCTGTGGAGCCCACGCTGCTTTGGCAGTGGCGGAGGCTCGCTTATTATTATTATTATTATTATTATTATTATTATTTATTAAATTTTTAATAGGGCATTCCCACAGGCCTAAGGCCTTCTTACGGGGTACCCTATATGTTTTTGTATAGATGAGCGGAAGTCTGATAGCGTGGAGCAAATACGAACGCGATCGCTTGCCGACGTAACCGTCGGAGATCATCATGAACAATGGACTGACTAATTAGTAGTAGTAGTAGTAGAATTTATTATTTTGATAGGGAAGGCCCTACAGACGTTGCCGTCTTTAATTATTCACTTGTCCTGTCTTTCTAAATAACATGTTATTGCACTTGTTCTTGGTTTAGTTTTTGGCCTTTTTCGTGCTTTGGACTTGGAGTTATTTGTTGTTGACATGTACTAGATGGGGATTTGTATGCAACATGTCACTAAAAGCGCCATTTCGTTCTTATAAAAGCACGGATGACCGCGGTTGGCCCATACATGTATGTTGTAGTCTTTTGGACGCTGAGTCGACTGGTTTTGGTCCGAAAAGGCTGCGATGCAGCGTTCCTCCTTTATTCCCAATCGAACATGGTTGAACAAGCGGTCACGTGCTCCTGCGTACACCGGTCACCTGGTCACCGTGCCTGCAGGGTACAACTTACTGTACTCTACTACTACTAGTACTAGCCTGTTTGACCTTTTTCAGGAGCACGTGACCGCTTGTTCAACCATGTTCGATTGGGAATAACGGAGGAACGCTGTATCGCAGCCTTTTCGAACCAAAACCAGTCGACTCAGCGTCCAAAAGAGCACAACATACATGTATGGGCCAATCGCGGTCATCCGTGCTTTTATAAGAACGACATAGCACTTTTAGTGAGATTTTGCATACAAATCCCCATCTACATGTAGTAGGGCGCAGTCACCCAGTTTCGGTGGAAGTGCGCGGGTTCGATTGGGAAAAAAGAAGGAAGGGAGCGTGGCAGCTTCCTCGGACCAAGAGCATTTGACTCAGCACCCAGAAGACTACAACTGGTGAAATTTGATTTTAGGGTATACTTCCCCTCTAAACTTCTTTTTTTTTACTCGCGCGGCACATGTGCACACGCGGATGCTGGCGATGTACTAGCCTAGTCTAGCCTCTAGGAACAGCAACAGCAGCTGAACCATGTGTGTCAATGCATATAATTATTATAAAAAATGTACTCGAACTGCCACAGACAGAGAATGCAAAGCCACACATGCACACACACAAACACAATACTAGTACTAGTACACGTCGCACCGTCACAGTCGCGGTCAGGCCAGTGTGAACTGTGAAGAGTTGTGAATCCAACCTCTGAGGCTCTGTCAATGTCATGGTTGTTACGGTTACTGATCTACCTACCCCAGCGCCAGCGGCCAGGCCGTCGACCAGGTCTAGGACCAGGTAGCCCTACAAAATCATGACTGTACAGTCATGCAGATCTACGTGGAGTGTATGGCTCCTTGGCCCAGAGATGCGACCCAATTTATGCCTCTCGAGCTCTCGCCTCGGCCCACGTCCGTCCACGCTCAACAAACGCACCGCACGAAACACACCATGTCCCACGCACACGTATTTTCAAGCACAGATTCTGCAGTACGAGTCGCTCGTCGTACGCGTAGTAGCTGCAACAAAGTCAAACAGACAGAGAAAGATTAAGTGCAGCGCTTGCAAGTGCAGAGTCGGCAGACTCTGCACCGCGTAGCGTAGATCTACAATGTACAAATAATTGTAGTACCAAGACGGCAAGAGTTCATAACTCTTGCGAGTACTCGAGTCGTAGTAGGTCTACGAGTTGTACGACTCCGATCCGTGTAGGGCCTAGGCCAGGCTGCAGAGTCGACCGGTCCTGCTAGCATGCATTGTTGCTGATCGGCGCGATATCTACAGTCAGTAGCAGTCTACGCATAGAAAGGGCCTGAGTGAGCAAAATCCAGAAAGTGATGACTGATACTCCAAACTAAGATCAGAAAAGAAAAGAGGCAGACAAACCTGTCAGCCATTCATTCGGATAGGCTACTTATTGCATGTGCATTGCTTTGATATTCAGTTCCTCTAACCTCTCATTGACTAAACTTTTCATCGAGCTTCGATTTAGTGACTTCCTCGCTTTCGCAAGTGACAGTTTTGGGAAAAGCAATTAAATTTTCTTTGTTCTAGTACTAGTATTTCTCTTGCGCCTAGCTGTTGCCTCTCGTGATAAAATCTAGGCGCACGATGGGGAATTGTGTTGGTCGTAGATCCAGGGAGCGGTCGGCAGATGGAGCGGCCTATGCTCGTGTTCCAGATAGTGATGCAGTCGCAGATCCACCACCTCCTTACGAAGTGGTACGTTGAGAATTTTAGTGCTCTATTGCCAATTTTGTTTTGCCTGTTCAAACTTCTCGGTGTGATGTATGCGTGATTCAGCGTTGCCAGGCTGTACTGTCTTCCGTGTTGTGATCTGTAACTGAAGTAAATAGTTGGTGCAGTGTCGAGTCATTCTTGTTTCTCGGTGTGCCTATTGTGTGCCCAATTGTGTGAAGGCATCTAGCGTCAGTGATGAGGTCCAGCAGCGACTTCTCAGGATGACTGACGAGGAGAGGTTTCAGTTCGTACGTCGCATGACCCTAATGCAGATGCTCCCCGTGGGCACGTACAGTCTCGAGAAGGGAGAGAAGAGACGGGAGTAAGTAACCTTTTGACTCTTAGTCTTAGCTTCTAGGCCTATCTAGGTGTCGTTATGTGGGTGAGGGAGACACCGTCGATTTTGCAGTACCAGCATTACTTCGGTGACTTCCGTATAGATGCTTCTCGGGAGTTCACTTCGTGCACGGATAGGCGGAAGACTGTTTTCAATGTTCACTTTTATGCTCGAGTTGGCTTCGTGTTGTTGCTGGTTTCCTGAAAGTTCCTGTTTTCTAGGTGGCAAATGAGACTGTTGTCACAAGTCGTGATGTTGTTTGTACACGTTTGACCGGCGACGAGTAACTGTTTCGGTGTTTCACTCTGTTGCCGGCTCAGTGCGTCAGCTGAGCCTGTTCCTGGTCTATCAGAACATTTGCAAAATCCAAATCAATGCCTTCCAGGTGCTGTGTGCTCAATGAAGTGAAGTCGTTCTCCTAAAGTAGTTCTGGAAGATCCACATCTTGACTTGACGGGTGACTTTTTGGAATCTTTCATTGATTTGAACAACGTGGGGCCATGTACGCATGTCGTAATCACTACATCAGCTGATTTTGTTCTGCAGAGCGAGGCGGTACGGTAGACGTCACCTCATGCGTCCCGTACAAACTCATACATACTTCACGGAATCTTGACTTGGCCGTGACGAATGCATTGTGCTAGAAGCTCGAAGGTGTCGTCAATCATGTCGAATTATTTTTTTGTCATCCTGATGGCCAGCGCAACACTGGGACTGGGAGCACTGGGGTAGCACTTGGCTTTGGTAGTTTGGAGATACTTCTGAAGTACTTCTTCTGTAGCTGTGCCAAGTCTGAAGAGTGTTGAGTGGGTGCCCTGCCCAATCATCCCCTGATGTTTCATGTCATGATTATCAATAATTATCATGATGTGGAGGAGCATGGCCTGATCTTGTTTGACAGCATCTGTGACTTTGTGGAGCTGCTGTAGTACTGTGGTGCTGTAGTACTGTAGTGTAGTGCTAATCGTCTCCACTGGGTGCCGCACGAAGCATGACTGATTTCCAGGCAAGCTCTGTGCAACACTCCTCACATCTCATCAGGAGATAAACATGATGTGTGTGTGTGCGTGCGTGTGTGTGTGTGTGCGTAGCGTGTGTCCGTGCGTGCCTGTGTAGAATGGGAGAGTGAAAAGCAGCATACACGCACAATGCCTATCCTGAACACCCACTCACGCCTTTAAATTTTCGACCGTATATTCAATACTTACAGGTTCTTTGAAGAACTTCACACAATGGTTTTTGAAAGAATCAGCAAATATCGTCGATATACAATTGATAATTGAGTTTTTAAAAGGACAGGGTGCACGTAACCGTCAGGCAAACTTGTCATTGTGTCACCCCTGGTCGCAATTCTGAATTTCTTGTCGTTCGTCCGGCGTGTAATTATCAGGCGATCCCATTTGGTTTTGGAACATTGAGCGATCTTCCATTGCCAGAGGTAGACTACCACCAGTGTGTGTGTGGGGGGGGGGGGGGGCAAGACACTATGTGCACTATACTACGCTGCTAGTAAGCTGCTAACTTGGGTGTGTGTGTTGGCATAGACGCTGACAGCTACATACATCTCATTGGTGTCAGCATGCCAGCAGACTATTACCTGGTGTGGGTTAGTCGTCCCTTCTTGACGTCTGTAACATAGGTGTGAACTCACTCATGTAGCTGTGTGAAGTGTGAACCTTAAAACACTGCAGTCCTGCCAGCTATCACTGCAATGTGATTTGAATGCAGTCCTGCCAGCTATCATTGCAATGTGATTTGAATGCAGTCCTGCCAGCTATCATTGCAATGTGATTTGAATGCAGTCCTGCCAGCTATCATTGCAATGTGATTTGAAGACTGCAGCAAGGCAGTACTGTGTATGAATGGAGGGGGAGAGTGCTACATGGAAACTGGCTGATATCTGTCTTCCCAGCCGTGTAAGGAGCTCTTTGACTCTGTCTTCCAGCTTGTGTTGTCATTATCAGACCAGCCTAAGACGTAGTACGCTGTATCTGGTCGCTGATGGAAGCTTTTTGAATAGCTCTGTTTGTGTGTCAAAGACATCTGACAAGTGCAAATGTCAAATGAGTGACAGGTTGGAAGCCATCCAGCTGTTGCAGATTAATAGATGGTCTGGAAGCGGTCCAACTGTCAGTGTCTGCACATAGTGCCAGTTGTCTGTCTGCCAGCGATGCTTCTGGCTGTGCATTCTCTCCCACTGTTTTTTTTTATAGGGCTGCAACGGGTAGGGGTTTGGTCGGGTAACGAGTTCGGGTATTTCTGTCCGGGTAGCACATGTACCCTATCAGGTATTTCTTGACAAAAGTTGACATAGTTTGTACAGTGAGCGTGCACTTGCGCTACATGCACCGCTGCGAAAACACCATACCCCCACAACCCGATCGGGTTCTCAGGAGCAAACTGCTACCCGAGTACCCGCTCTAATTACGGGTAACACGGGTACCCTGTCCCTCCAGGAAATCGTGATTCCACGGATGCAACAAATTTCGCGATTTTGGCCCAAACCCGCGATTTCCCGTGTTTTTTGTTGTTGTTTTCTGCACTATAATTATCGTTCTCACATTTTTATGCACTTTTCACGCAGTTCTTTCCATGATCCTGTAGGTTATTTGCACAGTACTACTCGTACTACTCCCGAGTAGATATACAATGCAACAAATTTCGTGATTTGGCCCAAATCCGCAATTTTCTGCAAATAATTCCGCGAATTCCTGGCAAGTTCTGCATCATTCCGCACTTTTTGTCGCATTTTTTGTTGCTTTCTGCCGCAATTTCTTGCGCAAGTTTTTTCCGCAAATTCCCGCAGGGACAGGGTACCGTACTTCTCGTTGACGCCCCTACTTTTCTATGGTGGTTGCCATGGTGTATTAAATAGATTGTCTGCCATGTGTTGGTGTCGGGTTTGCCAACCTTATGGACGATAAAACATGTTGCATGAAACTATGTGACCTCTTCACTAGGTATGGCTGGACTTGCGCCGTATCTCCTCATAACTAAGCTGTCAAAACTGATCGGGATAGGACTCTTTCCTCCCGAACTGCCATACCTAATATCAAGAGTACATAACCCCCAGTGTGCAACGCCTGATGCAGCTCTGCATACAGATAAAAAACAATGGTGCCCTGCCTCAAGACCGGCCTTGCGCTGGTGTGGAGTGTACGCATGACATGAGAAGATCCGATTCCGCTCGACCAAGACCCTATGCATGTACTCTTGCTAATATACTACGTGTGGAGTAGCTGAACTTCAAACAAACAAAAAACAAGAAAACTGGGAGAGCAGGCATTTAATTTTGAACTGGCGTCTCATGTGCCTTATCATCATTCATCATTCATGGCTTTCATCTAGACAAACTCCGTGCTGTTGTACTTTTGCTCGTGCTAATTTGGTTGCATTTTGTTTGCGTGTGTGCGTGCGTGTGTGTGTGTGTATGTGTGTGCATGCGTGTGTGTGTGTGTGTGTGTGTGTGTGTGTGTGTGTGTGTGTGTGCTTCGCAGATGCGTCATCTGCATGCAGGAGTTTGTGGTGGGGGAGAGCATCCGCCTGCTGCCCTGTATGCACCTGTATCACCAGAGCTGCATCGACGACTGGCTGACACGCCAGTTCTCCTGTCCGTTCTGCATGGAGGGACTGGACACGATACTCACGGAGAGCGTGGAGGAGGCACACGCGGCCGCCACTGCGTAGCCATGATGACCGGACCCACTCCTCACAGCCCTATGCTACAGATCACACAATGCGCGCTATCAGCCGCTCATCTCACCAACGTTATGCTCCTGAGTGACTGGCTCGGATATCGCCGATTAACCGATTCACACACACACACACGACTATCTTCTTCAAACCTCGTGGTCAAAGTGCCATGCCGTGTCCTGATCTAGTCTAAACTCTTCTGGTAACTGAGCGAGATCACGGTACCAGCCTGTTGGCCGTTTCGTTGCCCAGAGATAGCTCTGTCCTGCCCTGGCCGATCAGGTCAGTTTAATAATGGAGTTGCGCCCATGCGTCTTCCTGTCTGCCGTGCCCAACCGTCCTGATCTCATCAATGCACAAGCTTGTGTGTATGTGTGTACCGGCGGAACGACACACAAGCACCGGACTTTTAAATGAGAAAACAATATGCTCGCTCGTTTTACCCTCGTATCAGCTGAGCAGCCGTTATATCCCACATTGCTGCACCGTTTATTCGCGTGCAGTCGTCAATAGTAATATTTTTAATACCATCAGCACCATGTACTAGACTCTAAATCATCTTCTTCATCACCAGCACCAGCACCGTATCAATGTTTCACCGCAGCTGTTATATGTCCTTTCAACCACTCACCGCAGCACTCTCTACTGGGCATCAGCAAGTAAGGAGACCGTACGCGCTTTCACGCGCTGAATGGATGTGTTCTCCTGCTCTGTGTGTCTCTATCACTCTCTCTCTCTCTCTCTCTCTCTCTCTCTCTCTCTCTCTCTCTCTCTCTCTCTCTCTCTCTCTCTCTCTCTCTCTCTCTCTCTCTCTCTCTCTCTCTCTCTCTCTCTCTCTCTCTCTCTCTCTCTCTCTCTCTCTCTCTCTCTCTCTCTCTCTCTCTCTGTCTGTCTGTCTGTCTCCCTCTCTCTCCCTCTCTCTCCGTCTCTCGCTCTCTCTCTCTCTCTCTCTCTCTCTCTCTCTCTCTCTCTCTCTCTCTCTCTCTCTCTCTCCCCCCCCTCCCTCTCTGTCCATCTCCGTCTATCGAGCACACACGTATTGTTGTCTAATGAAGCTTGCACATCACTCTCTAACCCTGCACTGTCTGCACCTTTTCCCAATGGCGCACCACTCTATGTTCTTGCTGCGGCTGTTGTCGTATTATCCCGTGGAAATAATCTGCTCCTATCCCTATTCTCTGCACACCTTACCGTTACTGATATCTGTGGGCAAAGGCACATACCCCTCCCTAGGCCCATGTTGTGGTCGTTGTTTTCCTTCACAATGGCTGGTTTGCTGCTATGTTCGCTGCCAGGTGCCCAGTTTCTTCAGTAGTCTCCCAGGGTGAGCTCACTGGAGCAACACTACCATGCTATGTACAGTGTGTGTGTTAAACCAGCCATTGTACCCTGCCCCTATCTCTCGCGGCGCGCCGCTTGGCTGCTGTTTTTCGTCCCTACACTGTGCCCCCCTCTCTCCTTGCAAAGCTGCGCACCGGTATATACTTGAATTTTAATGCTAACCTTTTAATGGGTCTGCCAGTCATTTTAACACAGTGAACTATCCCACTGTACAGCACTCCCCCCCCAGCTCAATTTTGATCAGTTCTATTATGTAGGCGAAATGCATCGTGCATTCTATAGTAGCACCCTTCCCTCCGTCGTCCGTTTTATCCATTTTTTAATTTTATGGATCCACTGATACGTTTTATTCTATTTTCTTGAGAACTTACTCGGTTTGTCCGTTTGATTCATTCTGATGTACTACGAAGTGTGTTTCATTATTATAATTATTATGGCCATCGGCCGCTCCATACAGTGTTATCTGGCCTTTAAAATGCCAAACTGTGCTCAACGGGGAATTTGTCCCGCAGTTGCGTGTTCATTTCTCTGTGTGGCTCATGCATTCCAGTTGTGCAGCATGGTGTGTTTGATTTGACTGTATACTGTTGTCATGCACTAAAACGCTGGATTTTCAGTGGTGCCCGATTATGTCACTTCCTCTTGGCCGTTGCTGTGTGTGTGTGTGTGTGTGTGTGTGTGTGTGTGTGTGTGTGTGTGTGTGTGTGTGTGTGTGTGTACATGGCGTGTGTGTGCATGTGTAAGATGAAAGCACTGCATTGGAACGCCCTGAAGTGTTCATTCTTGTGTGGTTGTTGTAGCGAGGGTGCACCCATGGTGATGTTCAAAGTAACAACGCAATCCTAGCGTTTCCACTTTCTCAGTCTACCAATACTCTTGCCGTCGTGTGCCTTAGTTGGGCTCTGAGCACTCGTACGAACCAACCGGTGTCTTCAGCTGTGTTGGTTTGTTGGTAGCGTGGCTAGAAAAACAGTGTACATTGTATAAAGAGAATTTTATTTAAAAAACCTGGCTCAGTAGAAGCCTGATTTGAGCAGACATACTGGAGCCAGGTCATGAAAATGGCCATAACAGCGTGAGGCATGGTGAGAGTAGCTTACATTGCCATACATATACCTACAGGCTACTTCAAGTAGAAATAGCCGCTGGAACTTCGAGTGCACAACATACTGTAACGGTAAAATTATGTGACTGGAAAGAGGAACATGAATGCATGGCAAACTAGCTCATAATCATTATAACCCCGGAAGTCGTCAAGAAGACTCCCTGATATACATGACATCAAGAGCATAATTATAACCCCCCCCCAAGAGTGTGCAACTCCTGATACCCTTTCTATGGGGTACGGCGAAAACTCACATTACGTGGTGTAGTGTCGCAGTTGTACGTTTCCAGCCCGCTTTTAGCGAGCAGCGGAGTAATAAAAAGAGCACTCTCTGACAGAAACTCACTGTGGGTATGCAAATCCCCAGCATGATCATGGCAGATATTCGGATTGCGCTCACGCTATCCTTCTTTTGTATGTAGTATGAGCGTAACTGAGACACGTGATGTGAGTTTTCGTCGTCGGAGACCCCATATGCAGAGTATTTTTCTGGTTTTATTTGCCGTTCTCGTGAAAAAAAATTATAATTATATGCAGAATTGCACACTCTTGGGGGGGGGGGGGGGTTATAATACTCTTGATGACATGTACACCGGTATCAGGGAGTCGTTTAATACTTCTTGACCACTCCCTTGTAACCATTATAAACAAAACTAAAAAAGACTATGTAAAAAATAATAATAATAAGAGGCTGCATGTGTGGCAATAGAAGCAGTAGATTGGTGCGTGTGCAGAACAATCAGTAGTGTACAGATCAAGCCCGGTGTGATGACGGTGATTCAACTTTCGCCATGCACGAGTGTGAGTGTTAGAAGCACTGGCAGGGACATAATAAGGGAGTCATAAAATACCGGTATTTTACTACCGTGATGAAGCCCTTCGGGGTGAACATTTGGAACAATAATTGAGCCAGCGCACGCGAAAAGGGGGCTAACGTACTTGCACTTGAAGCTGTCAAAAAGCACTTCAAAGTTTGACGTGCGCTTTTTGCGTGGATTTTGAAGTTGAGTCGCTGCGACTCTGTATAATCTCGCGCGTTTTCGCAATTTTGCGCAGGTCGATGACACAAGAATGGGGTTGACGGTCTAAGCTTTCCACCAGTCTTTAGATTTTGCAAATCGGTCCTCGCGTTGCTGAGATTCATTTGTTTGAAGCTGCGCTTGTTTTCTTGAGAGAGCTTCTTTCTCAACAATTTTTTCTCGCTCTTGCCATGAGTCGAAGAATAGTCTTCACTGTCGATGAAGCTCTTGCTGACGTGCTCAGGGAGTGCGAAGATGAGTTTCATGGCGATCCTGAGAGTAGCTCTGTCGCTCCACTTCAAAATTCTGGTCAGGAAATTGCTGAACAGGGCGTAGAATCGCAAGTAACATAGTTGACACTGACGACGCAGACTAACTCCACTACCTCAACTCCAGGGTGAACTCCGATGTTGTAGCAGCGAACTACCTGCATGTAGAGCCTCAAAGCGACTCTGATGAGGCTGGAGTTATCGCTGATGAAGAAAATCTAACAGTGGAAGACGAAGCAATAGTGGAGAACGTCCCTGCTGCTGCTGCTCCTCCTGCACCTGAATTTGCTCAGCTCCAGAATTGTGGATGCAGCAAGAACTGCCTCCGTAAGTTTGACAGAGTAACTCTTGAGCAGTCAACACTAAACATGAGGGAAATGGAGAAAAGTGAGAGCGATACCGTGCTATTGGGAATTTTGGAGTCCTGCCGCCACAATACCAGTCAGAACGCGCATGGGGGAAAGCGTCGCCGCGAGTCCTTCGCCTACAGCTTCCTGGGTGTCGAGGTGTGTGTTGGTGCGTTTCGCTACGCGTACGACATCGGCAAGAAGCATTTGTATGGTCTGCAGCAGCACCTGGAGAAACACGGACTGGTGGGGACTGGTGCCCAGGGACCATGGCAATACAGGCAGGCGACCACATAATGCGCTCCTGTACGCTAACATGAAGAGATGCGTTCAGTTCATCAACAACCATGCAGAAGTCAACGGCATTCCGCATCCAGCCCCGCTGCGTGGACGTGATGATGCTCCTCCAGTGTTCTTGCCTGCTACCCAAACATACAAGAGCGTACATGCCTTGTACAAGGAATCTTGCGCGGCAGCCCAAGTTGAGATCATCGGTGAATCATCGTTCCGCTCCATTTGGGTCGACAATTACCTGGTACGAGTGGGACCGCTTCCTGCCCGACTTCTTCCGGCCAATCCCAGCCGTGAGCCAGATGCACCACTTCACCTTCGCTGCTGCCACACCAGGAATGGTTGAAGTGCATTGGCGGAAACAGTGACTCTGTTGACATCCTGAAGACCACCGTGCAGGCAGTGCAAGATGCAGGCTTACCACCGGTCATTGCACCTGGAGGTATGAGCAGAGCTCGTCGCCAGTACTTGCACAAAGAAATCCGTCCGTTTGTGCAAGAGCAGTTCAGGGATGACCTATGCCCACCAGTCAGTGACTAGACAATTAGAGAGCCGTAACTGTACAGTTCTAATCGTGTGCTCTTCTGTAACTGTATAATATTCACACCATGTTGCCGATGAACACAATCGCGGAAATTGGCTGCTTACGGGCCACGACTGTGCATGTGTGTGATCTTAGTCGAAAATGCTGATTATGCCTCTTCTGTGTTGGTCCAAACTAGGCATTAAAGTGCACTCTGTACATCATGAATATTCTTCAAATGCTTCATCAAGAAAATAGTGTCAGCGTATGTACAATGTCTAGAACAGACAATCATTTTTTTCTTTGCACCGCAAAGTGCGATACTTGCCAACAGACCACCTGGCACTAAAACACCTATAACATTGCAACGAAAAGAGATTTTTTGATGCGGTTTTTTGCAAAAGATTTCTGAAACATGTTGGAGTAACACTAGATAGTCAGCTCGAAATGTCAGATTTTAGAGGTTAACCCCCTTTTCGCATGCTCTGGCTCAATTATCGTTACTGTACGTGGTGTATCCCAGGACTGTTCGTGTGTTGCGAATCGGAGGTGACGTAAACGACTTTTACTACTACTACCTGGACATAATGCAGCGCTATGCTGGGCTTGCCGTCCGTTGTGTCTGGTGTATAAACACTTTCTGGAAAAGCCTTTCTCGTAGAATATATAGAAGCCTGTTTTGAATTCAAGATGCAACGGCGGCACATACAGACTTTCGATCATATAATTATGATTGATGACTAAAACCTGCTTAACTCCATCATTTCTTTTGCAAATTTAACAATTGAAGGGTCTACGTGGTAGCGGAAACTCCGAGCTCTCTAGTGCAACAATTGCCGAAAAGCTACGATCTCTAGAGATACTGCGCGCCATCTTGGCGAATTCAAAATTTTGATCAATGCTGTTTACCATTTTTGGGGAAATCCCTCTGAGCGCCTGAGCACATGATAGTGAGTCTATTATTCATGGCAACCTCTCTGACCTGCTTATAGGCTTGCCATACTCGTACATAGGATATGTGGCTTTAATTAATAGCAGCCTGATTCGAATAGCAGCCTATTACTGATATTGGCTTCTACAGGAATGGAATATGTGACATTTACGATTACGAGTCACATGAAGTTCCAGTATGTACAGTCATCCCACATCTCTTGAAGCATTTCTGCTCCTGTTTCGGCTGCATGTGACTGGGAAGTGATAGCTATCAAGTTCTGTACAAATGTTGAACTGTAACGTCACTGCAGACAGTGCAGGTCGCGGATATGGGGCAAGAGCGCACACGCCCTAGTATGCATGCAGAAAACTCAATGTACAGTGCAGCACTTGAGAGGAAGATCGAAAGCCCACCTCCTTCGTGTCCTCTTACATGAAGCATGCATGGCACTAGCTATGCATGCACCGAGCTCCACAGCACACGTCCGTAGCAAAGAGCACACGTCCGTAGCAAAGAGCACACGTCCGTATCAGCATTTTGGAACACATCCAAACACATCCACCAGGCTGCTCTCCGGGAAACCAGAGCCTCTACTACTACTTAGTCTCAGTGGCATGTCACATGACTCCCTCAGAGCGAATGGAACCAATCATATCCGTGTAGGCATGTCAACAGCAACAGGGCACTACAACGCTGTACCATCGTCACTGAGCTCCTCACAGTCGGCATTTTCGGGCAGCGAGCCGTTGGCTACATCTCCGTCCGCGTCATTCCTGTGTTCCTGGGCGTGCACGGTGGTCGTCATTGACGCTGCATTCCCACTGGTGTTGTCTCTGCCGAGAGAGGCAGCACCCACACTGCGCATCAGTCTGCCCACCGCAATGGTGCCCAGTATTGCTTGCTGCACATAGACAGCCATGCAGCACAGAACACAGACATGTAGTCACTACTGGGTTAGCATGCACACACAAACACGTGCAAAAAAACCAGAGAACCGAAATGCCCAAACTTTGGCATCCGGATAACCAATGCACCAATGCACGTTGAACACACACACATGTTTCACTGTTACAAGTTACAACCTGGAAAGGGAAAATGCCAGCTTAATGCACAGCTCACCTTCCAATGTGTGCGAGCACGTGCACGCTCTCTCAGCTTGCCGTACGCCGAGTCTAGATGCTTTTGGTTGGGTCTGGAGTTCACAATCCAGGGATGGTGCAGCGCCTCCGTGGCTGTTAGGCGCTTTGAAGAACGATAGCGTAGCAACTGGTTGATGAAATCCTGCACACGAACACAGTATGATCAGAGAGTGATCAGAGAGTGATCAGAGAAGGATCAGAGTCTGCATTTGGCACAGGGACATCAGAAACTTCACAGAAAGTGTTTGAGGATGGCTCGGCCAGCCATCGGGGGTGCCCTTCGCAAGGTCCCCGGTTTGGAGCCCAATTTAGTAGTTGAATTTACAGCAGTTCATCAAATCCCACTTGCACTGGGTAGTGAGGGGGGGGGGGCATACACTCCATACAGTCATAATTATATGTAGTGTATGTAGCACGTCCGACACTCCTCATACCTAGGTTGTACTCTAAATAATGGCGGCTTCTATATTGTACTTATGACAGTTATGCTAGAATCAATACCACACTATAAGTCTCACACATTGGCTGGGGAATCGTAAGCTGTCATTGCTGGCAATTTCCAACCCCATGCAAGTACAGCTGCACATCCAGTGAATCATGTGGCCTGCTGGCTAGAGCTTGCCTGACCAACCTCTGGGTATGTTTTTTTCCTTTCGGGAGTGGCTATTCGGGTGTGGTTTCAAAGGGGAAACGGGGGATGCCATGGCTACCCAAGCTGGCTCTAGGCTGCCGACTACGCGCTTTCTGAAAATGTAGGTGCCCGTGGGATGGTCAAGGGACACTACTTTTAAAGAGCGTACACACAGCACACAGCACACAGCACACAGCACACAGCACACAGCACACAGCACACAGCACACAGCACACAGCACACAGCACACAGCACACAGCACACAGCACACAGCACACAGCACACAGCACACAGCACACAGCACACAGAGGAAGAACAATATTCTTCGAGGTCATTCTTACAAGACCTTACCCTTGCATCCACGCTGACATCATCCCAATAAGGCGATGGAAACGAATATTCGGCACGGATGGTTTTCTGATAGATCTCCTGCTGATCTTCGTCATAGAATGGCTCAAAACCGCACAGTCTGTACATCATGGCACAATGCATTCAGTTGGACAATACAATACATCGATTTCATGTAGTTACACTATCTTTCATGTCACAATGCACTCAATGCACTCAGTTGGACAATTAGTATTACATGTATTGCAGGGCCGGCGGAACCGGTCAGGCTGGTCCGGCCATGGCCGGACCACTTTCCCAGGTGGATGGTCCATGTGATTCGTGCAAAACCGGTGTAAAAAATCCAGAGGTACACAACTCGACTGTACTGCCGACGTGTGATGTGCTTCGAAGTAGCTCAGGACTCCGTGACCGGCACTGTATGGCTTTAATCATATGGTTAAAAAAAATGGAGAATGAAGTGGAAGACACCACTGCAGCTGTACTTATGGTTGATAAATATGGTGGTAAAGACACACCTTGCAATATGGCGGTAAACACACGCCTGCCCACACATGCTCTCTAGGCTGCAAAGTTCTGGCACAGAGCTCTCCTTCTCACCACCACCACCATCAGTTCGCGCCTGGCGCCTGGTCGATGCATGGCTGGCGGTATCCGGCATAGCAGGCTGGTACATCAAGTAGCGCATGGCACATAGATGATGACACAGCAACGACATAGCTCGATTGCAACGTACGTTTCGTCCCCGCTGGTCTCATCAGGCAATCTTCTTCTTGGATGTCTTCATACGGAGCTTGACTCGGGAGAATGAAGTTGAAGACACCACTGCAGCTGTACTTATGGTTGATAAATATGGTGGTAAAGACACACCTTGCAATATGGCGGTAAACACACGCCTGCCCACACATGCTCTCTAGGCTGCAAAGTTCTGGCACAGAGCTTCAACTTCATTCTCCCGAGTCAAGCTCCGTATGAAGACATCCAAGAAGAAGATTGCCTGATGAGTCCAGCGGGGACGAAACGTACGTCGCAATCGAGCTATGTCGTTGCTGTGTCATCATCTATGTGCCATGCGCTACTTGATGTACCGGCCTGCTATGCCGGATACCGCCAGCCATGCATCGACCAGGCGCCAGGCGCGAACTGATGGTGGTGGTGGTGAGAAGGAGAGCTCTGTGCCAGAACTTTGCAGCCTAGAGAGCATGTGTGGGCAGGCGTGTGTTTACCGCCATATTGCAAGGTGTGTCTTTACCACCATATTTATTAACCATAAGTACAGCTGCAGTGGTGTCTTCAACTTCATTCTCCCGAGTCAAGCTCCGTATGAAGACATCCAAGAAGAAGATTGCCTGATGAGTCCAGTGGGGACGAAACGTACGTCGCAATCGAGCTTTGTCGTTGCTGTGTCATCATCTATGTGCCATGCGCTACTTGATGTACCAGCCTGCTATGCCGGATACCGCCAGCCATGCATCGACCAGGCGCCAGGCGCGAACTGATGGTGGTGGTGGTGAGAAGGAGAGCTCTGTGCCAGAACTTTGCAGCCTAGAGAGCATGTGTGGGCAGGCGTGTGTTTACCGCCATATTGCAAGGTGTGTCTTTACCACCATATTTATCAACCATAATACAGCTGCAGTGGTGTCTTCAACTTCATTCTCCCGAGTCAAGCTCCGTATGAAGACATCCAAGAAGAAGATTGCCTGATGAGTCCAGCGGGGACGAAACGTACGTCGCAATCGAGCTATGTCGTTGCTGTGTCATCATCTATGTGCCATGCGCTACTTGATGTACCAGCCTGCTATGCCGGATACCACCAGCCATGCATCGACCAGGCGCCAGGCGCGAACTGTTGGTGGTGGTGGTGAGAAGGAGAGCTCTGTGCCAGAACTTTGCAGCCTAGAGAGCATGTGTGGGCAGGCGTGTGTTTACCGCCATATTGCAAGGTGTGTCTTTACCACCATGGTTAAAAAAAAGGTTGTGTTTGTGTTCTTTTACTATCATTTTAAGAGACGCCCAAATTCGCTCTATTTCACGTAAATTTTAAATATTTCTCTCGGGGGAGGTCCCCCGGACCCCATCAAAGGTTGGCCGGACCACTCATAAACTCCTTCCTCCGGCCCTGTATTGATCTCAGTAAACCACACACCCTCAATATCATGCATGGCACAATTCATTCAGCTGGACAATTATCGATCTTGTCCACACAGTATGTACAGCATGCCATGTAATTACATGTAGACTATCTTTCTGTATGCGCACGAGTCCAATTTGTTACCATAAATAAAGTCAGCATAGACTGTGCTGCACCACAGAAATGCTGAGCTAATAGCCAAGTCGCTGTGTGGCCCGTAAACTCACAGTATGTAGGTAATAACACCCACCGCCCACATGTCCACCGGTGGGCCGTACTTCTTGCCGAGAAGAACCTCCGGAGCTGCATGGTGGTGAGCGCAGACAACACAAGAATGCCAATCAGCAAAGTCACCATTGGCATTTTACATTTTGAACAAGCTGTTCTTACATCCGCACTGTGATGTAGCTACTACTCGAGTCCAGGTACAAAGTGGGCACGGGAAAAATACTGGCTACAGTACATAGACTTGGTGCATGGCGTTGGACCGAAGTGGGATGACATAATTATGGGCTGGGTATGAGGCATGCGGTGTCTGCCTGGGAGGGCATGATGAACCTGGGGGAGGGGCATGCTGGGCTTGGGAGGGCATGGTGGATCCAGGAGGGAGTGACAGACCTGGGGAGAAATGATGGGTCTCGCAGGTCATGATGAACCTGGGAGGGCATGATGGACCTGGGAAGGCATGATGGATCTGGGAGGGCATGATGGACCTTGGAGGGCATGATGGACCTTGGAGGGCATTATGGACCTGGGAGGGCATTATGGACCTGGGACTGGAATGACCAATCTTGGAGGTCATGATGGGAGTGCTTACGGACTTGGGGCGTTTGGTGTTCATTCCCTGCATGGGAGGGCATGGTGGACTAAACACACGGGCTACTAACGTGACCCAGCTAATGCACCACAATGTGGACCAAGCACTAGGGTCCAGCGGATAATGCTCCGAAAATGTTCGTATAATGCTAACCGTAATGCTCCAAAAACTGCCTTATATTGCTGATTATAATGCTTCAGCAAGGGATATAATGCTCGGTTTGGGGCACAAATGGAAGAAAGTCTGCACATTGTCAAACTTCCAGGAAATTATGCATATCGTCGATCTGCATCTGAAGTTGCCACCTTATCTCTCACGAGCTCCACCACTTCTTAGCACTATAAGACATGATCGCTTCTCCATTGATTGCTCTCCATTCCAACTTTGATGCAGGGTTGTGGCAGAATAGTCGGTGTATCAAATCCCTCCCCTAATTATCCATGTAGTGAGAGATGAAACCATTATTGCAGGTAGTCATTCATTATTGGGATGAAGTTAATCTTGGCAAATAGTATTCCTGCCTGCAGACAAGCTGTCACTGCGTCCACTCTGTGAATAATGTCTTCATCTGAAACACCAGACGTGAGGTCAGCTCCTGAGATCCGATCTCAGATGGAGAGCCCTCCCATTTGCGGAAATCCTGAAAACACGTGGTCAGTTATTTTGCCACTCTACATTCTTTGCTTGTGCTCTCATCTTCTCCTTGAGATGGTGTGTAGACGTATGGCTTGCCACAATACTCTTCCTTCCTGATAGCATTTGACTGTAAGCCTGGCATTACAACCGTCCACAACTAACTGTACGTGCTTCATCAGGAAAGTAAGACAGGCGATGCTGAGCAATCGACTTGGTACTGAGTCCATGAGAAATTCTAGTTCTTTTCGAGCCTTCTGAGCTGGACTCGGCAACGGCAGTTCTTTTGGAAGGAGCTCTTTCTGTTTATAGCCGCTCCTTCATCCTGGTCCAAACTTAGCAATGCAACAGTGTCTACTTCAGTATCGCTAGAGATGCTATCGCCAGAGCCTCTGGCACAACTAGAAAAATCTTCTTCGTCTGTTTGATATTCACTTCGCGTAAATAATTTCTCCGGATTTGTGTCACTTGAACTGCCTCGGCCTCGGTTGGGCATGCTTCACAAATGGCTTCATTTACCTGACCATATCGCTACAACCATAACATTTTTATGTAGCAATAGTTATGTAGCGCTAGTTGTAAAGGTGTTAAGTGGCTACACAATCACAAAGTCAAGCGCCGGTACAATGCATAGTGCTCAAATGCCCGGAATGGGCGGAGCGTAGTACGCAAGGGGTACACAAAAGGAGTAAAATAGGGCTGTTTCGTTGTTACTCAGAGTTTCATGGCAAAAACCAATCATCAGACAACATCTCATGATCATGATTGTAGCCGATTGTTGCCAAAAACCTGGGATTTCCCGATATTATCCACTATGAAACTCGTTATGCCGTTCAAACCTCACATAATGCTCGTTTTGTTCCTTTCTAATGCTCCATAATGCTCTGATGCTCGGATAGTCGTATAATGCCGAATATAATACCGGCATTATCCGCTGGACCCTACCAAGCACTGTGGGGGGAGTATCAGTTGGCAACAGTGAGAGAACACACTTACCAACATAGCCAGGAGTTCCACAAATAGTCAGCGTACTGCGCCGTGCAGGGGTGATGAGACGGGATAGCCCAAAGTCAGCTAGGTACGGACACACACATGCACACATACACACACACACACACACACACACACACACACACACACACACACACACACCTCAGACCTCAGACATGCCCATCGCGGAAGCGATGATAGCGAACAGCTATGTTAGACATAGCAACTTGTGCTGGGATTACACCATTCGACAGCTTGCAAGGCTGATGAATTGACCGCCACTATTTTTAGCCTGGTATCCACCACACAGGCGTTTGAAGTGACTTTTTCTGGCCAGTGAATCCCTATTTTTCATTTTTCCATTTTTTTCTACACACACCACACCACATACTCCGGCATACACTGGCTGTTGGCAACCACCCAGGAGAATGAAAGAAAAGTCAGGAAGAGTCCGAGAAAGAGAAGAAAGACGTGTGCGACCATAATCGTCGGGAATTGAACCCTGCACATACCACTGCACCATATGGGACACACACACACACACAATGAACAGTTTGCATACAGGCGGAACCACAGTACTGAGGACCTTTTAACACTTGCCATCAATAACTGGCAGAGAAGCATGGATACCGGAGACTATACGGCCGTACTGCTGCTCGATATGAGCAAAGCCTTTGACCGCGTCCACCACCAAACGCTAATAGATGACCTTCACAATCTGAAGATCCGTGGAAATGCTCTTGAGTGGTTCAAGTCGTATCTGTCTCACCGACAGCAACGCGTAGAAGTGAACGGAACCACAAGTGACTGTAGAACCTGCACTAGGGGTGTTCCCCAGGGTTCTGTCCTAGGCCCTACCCTCTTCAGCATCTACACTCGACTTGTCCCCACTCTGCCATTGCGTTCCCAATGCCTTCTTTATGCAGACGACACCACCCTGTATGCCTCTGGAAAGTGTCCACGAATTCTCATGTCTTACTTAGAAGACGATTTTTCAGTGGTTAAGCAGCACCTCACAGATCGCGGCCTGCTCCTGAACTCCAGCAAGAGCCAAGTACTACTGATCCACAGCAGACGCTCACATCCCCCACCTAACCTGAGCATTGTCTGTGGTTCGACTGTTATTGCCCCGTCTGACGAAGTTAAGTATCTAGGACTGACTCTCGATTCAACTTTAAGTTTCAGTGCCCACGTTAACTCCCTCAGGGAAGACATCGGAAAGAAACTAGGTGCTTTTCGACGTGGAAGGAGGAACCTTGCTGTCCAGGCCAGAAGGCAGTTCTACTTGTCAGTAGTCCAGAGCAAGCTCGAGTATGCCAGCACTGCCTACGTCCACTGCCTCGCTGACAATGTGAGAGATCAGCTGCTACGCATAAGTAAGAGAGCACTTAGATGCATATTTGAGCATGACACATTCACGCGGACATCATACTTGCTTGAGCGATACCACATAATTAGCTTAGACAAAATATATCATACTAAGTCCATATTCTTCGTGTTCCGTTGCATCCACAATATCTGCAGTTCACTCCTCTCTGACATGTTCTCCCTTCGCCGTGACTGCGCTCACACAGACAGAGTAACCCGCGGCCAAGTCAATTATTTCCTTTCCTTACCCATTGTGCAAGCTCAAGCTGGATACAGATCTATTTCATTCCTTGGTGCTGACCGCTTTAATGCGCTTCCCGAATCCCTTCGCACAAATCATATCCCCAATCATTTCGCCAGGAACTTAACAATTTCATTCATCTTGGGCACCCTGTAAGAAGACCTTAGGGTCTGTTGGGAATGCCCAAGTAAAATAATAAAATACAATACAAATACAATACAATACACACACACACATACACACATGCACATGCGCGCAAGCATGCACACACACACACACACACACGCGCGCGCACGTTCACCTACACGGAGAGACCCTTGTACTCTGACTGACTCAAAGTCTCGTACACCGTGAGACCCTTGTATTCTAACCAACTCACCGACTTTCAGCGACAGGTCGTCGTTCGGATCCGCGTAGAGCAGGTTTTCCGGCTTCAGGTCACGATGAAGAACGTTATTTCTGTGCAGATACTGTAGACACAGCGCCGGCATACGCAGTGCACAGTGCACAGTGCATATGATGCGGTTGTGATGTTATGCTGTTACCGTACAGGGCCATAGCAGGCGGTCCGGCAGGTCCGGCAGCTGCCGGACCAATGTGCGGCAAAAAAAAAAAAAAAAAAAAAAAAAAAAAAAAAAAAAAGGGGGGAGCTCACACATATATGTGCGCAGCTCAGGATGTCCACCCATGATGATGTGTGCAATAAGTAGAGGTAGTACATGGTATCAAGTGTATAAACCGGGAGGGTGGGGGTTACATACTCTTGATGTCATGTACATGTACCATGATGTACCATGGCAGGAGGAATGGCATGGCAGGAGGTCACAGCACAGGACAACACCCACGTAGATCTACATGCACAGACTCACTATAAATTACTGGTATACGTGTGACGGTATCTTGTAACATGTATATCACATGCCTTTTCAGTGCATTGTGAACTGCTACTGACTATGTACTACATCTGCTGACGATAATATACTAGTAATTATTATCACTTTTCACCACTGGCTTGTGCCAAATAAGTTAGTTGTGGATGTGCCCACTTCCTGTGCCCACTTCCTGCACTTCTTTGCAAGTAATAGTTGACATGATCGTTACATGTACATGTACATGCCTTGGAGTACTGGACAGTCATGTCTGTGAATGTTCCTACTCTGTACTTCCTGAAATGTATGGATTCTTTTCTTCCCCCCAATTCTTTCTAGATACGCTTTGTACCAAAGATATTCTATTGCAATGTCCTTTCTCCTCCTCCAAAGATCCATTTTGGTACTTGTATCACATGCATTTAGATACTGTTGCTATGCCTTCATAGGCTTCAATAAGTTCTGTTTGGACGGACACAACATGCTGATGCCCTTTTTCCTGACTCATGCAGAAGATCCTTCTTCCTTTTCTCGCCAAATGTCACTCTGCATGGTCACGATTACATACACATACACGCACAATCATGTACCGTGATGATTTTGTACATGTACCGGCATATGTATGAGTGTGGGCTGGGGGGGGGGCATCGAGGTCGGATCTTGCCGGACCAACCAAAATGGGGCTGCTACGGGCCTGCCGTATACTTGTACTTCAGTACATGTGTGCATGCATACATGCATTAGATAACTACAAACACTACATGACTGTAGAAAAGAAAAAGGAACAAGGAACTACACGTTACGCTATAATGTCCACTAACACCACCAGCTCCTTGGGCCTTTTTCTTTTCTATAAATTTATCCTTGGCTCTCCATCCGAGTTCATACTACATGCCTGCATGGATTATTTCAGGCTGATGGCAACATGGCTGTGTTGGTCTTGATCATAGTTGCAGGGCCCTGGGCATTAAGTTCCATACTTCAGCCGCGCATGATTTCTGTGCGTGCTAAGTAGTTTCCCAGTGCTGAGCGGCAACATTTACATCTTACCTCAACAGCAGTAAGTACTTGACGGATAACAGCCACAGTTTCTTGTTCAGAATAGAAACCACAGTCCACTATCCTGTAAGAACCACATCAACACATCAACAACACTATCAAGCACAACAGCAGCAGCAGCAGCAGCAGCAGAAGCAGCAGAAGCAGTGGCAGTGGCGGCGGTGGTGGTGCTGTTGGTGGTGCTGTTGCTGGTCGTGGTGCTAGTGGTGGTGCTGGTGGTGCCGGGTGCAGCTGGTGGTGCTGGTGGTGGTGGCAACAGCAGCAGCAGCAGCGGTCGCAGTGGTTGCAGCAGCAGAACAGTGACTGAACAAGATGTGTGAAAATCTCCTCAATGAATCAGAGAGTGGAAATGAGAGGATATGTGCAAGGATACTGGGTCATGAATCTAGGTCCAAAATGCTAGTACCAAATCGGGAGTATTTACCTGTCGAAAAGCTCTCCTCCACGCACCAAATCCAGGACAAGATACACTTTTGTATCACTTTCAAACACTTCGTGAAGTCGTATCTGTCAACGTGCGCATACAGACATAGGCATACACATGGACACGCATACACGCAAATCCACGTGTGCGCACACAAATACACACACACACTTGTACTTGTATTTGTACTTGCTCACTGCCAAAGCTGGTCACGCGAGTCTTCCCCGAAGAGGGGAGAGCGATTCAAAAGGAACCTTGGAAAGATGACTCAATTGGCTATTGAACCGCCCAACGGCCGACACCCCGTGAAATCCCCAAACTCTGGGTGGACTTGGAAATGATCCCACATGCGGATACAGTCAACTTTGCTAATAACGCTCGGACTGCGGATAGAACGACAGTTCGTGAATAACGACAGATTTTCCATGCCCAGAGCAAAGTCCATTCTACTTGTACCTGTTATACATTATAAATTATAGTGAGACTTCGGGTATAAGGACACTTCGCGAATAAGGACACTTTTCTGATGCCCCGCCGAGTGCCGTTACACGCAAAGTTGACTGTATATATGCAGAGGCAGGTAGGACAGGCAGGTATCTAGGCCGTGTTCCGTACAATGTTGGGATGTTGCAGACGCAGCATGACATTGACTTCCACTTGAACAATTTTACGGAATTCCTGCACGGAAAGAACAGAAGAAACGAAGGGCGACTTGACATTTCATCCCTGCTAGCTTCTCCAAGACATTGATGGACTCCAGAACATCAGGTCTGTATTCGATAACATATTCAATTCAAGCTTGATGGTCTGCCTACTCAAAGTAGGTTCCACACAGAGCATAGGAATACAGCCGCATAATCTACCATGTTTTCCGGAGTATAAGCCACACTTTGAACACTGAAAATTCACCCCCCTTTTTTTTTGGGGGGGGGGGGGTGGCTTATATTCCGATGGTCAAAATAACGGTGATCAATAAATAGGGTAGATATCTGCATTTCGTGGCAAAAAAAATGGGGAGTGCGGCTTGTACTCCGGGAAATATGGTAGTGGTTAACTCTTCCTACCCAGTGTTCGGCCAAGCTAGCCGTATGATCCTCGTTGTCCGATATACAAGCATTGGACACTCTGTAACTCACCCAGCATCATGTGAGGTACGGTGGGAGATATGCTCATCTGCAGCTGGACGTCAGACGTGAAGTTGGTAAAGGGCTGAATGGCTTTGTGCTTTGTCCTATGATCATCTTAAAAGTGAATTACCTAACCAGTCCAGTACATACTATAGTACATTGTATGTACTATAATATGACGGAATGCACTTGTCAATGGGGTGGGGACAACATATCTGTCCACACCCCGTTCTGTTCTAACATGTAAGTAAGTAAGTTGTATATTTTACTTCGCAGATTCTAACGGGCAAGTTGCCCAATAACAAGAAAGCGAAGTAAGTACAGGTCCTCCCTCGTTAGTAGATAATCTCTGGGCCATCGAAAAAGTTGTCTTATAACGAGACTTACCTTGTAGCAGGACTTGCAGCTAAAGGTGAAATAGGCACTACTTCGTACTTACTGGGGCTACCCTCGATACAACATAAATTATCAATGCTTCAACTCGTTATAAGATAATTGAAAATCTTCAACATAACTCTTCCTTGGATGAAAAGGATCGTCCATATTCGCGAATACACAGATATAATTACGTTTGGTCCTTCTGCTTTATCCTACCTGTTTTGGCCTTGGTCCTGCATGGTCAGTATTATCTTATACTGAGGGTTTGGCACTCCGGGGACCTGGGCAAAGGGTCGTTATAACGAATTTTATGTACTAACGGATTATGTTGTAACCGGACCTGTAAACAGTTGTATAGACCACGTTTCGCCAGGGGATTTCAGATTTCTATTTACTAACGGGGTTTATGTACTAACCGGACTCGTTATAATGAGGGAGGACCTGTACCGTATTTTTGGAGAAGTGGAAACATGTGATGCAAGACACACGAGAAGGAGGCAATCTTTCTCAAGACATTTGTTTTCTTATGCGTTCCCTAGGACGATTGCATCTGGAAAAGCGCCTCGAGTCAGCTGAACTGAACTCCTCGGATTCAGACTCCGCAGGCGAACTCACGTTCTTGTCCATGATCTTCAGAGCGTATGGTCTCTTGGTCTTGCGGTGCGTGCATTTCCTAACGACGGAAGTAATGCCACTGCATGCGGCCAGGGAGAGAAGCACAGACAGCAGCACAAAGTGAAGTTATTCTCGAGAATGGCGACGCATACAGTAAGCTTTCAATACACTGGGATTCCAATGGTTACAAACTGCGAGGACTCCACTGTAGCCATCCACTGTATTCAAACATATTATGTAGATCCAATGGTTACAAAATAACAAAATGCAGAGCACACACCCGCACTCCGTCCCTGGCTACATACCTACAAACTCTTTCAAATTTTCGCTCATGATCAGGAGGGTGTCATCACCTCAAGACAGAGTGCGGGTGCGTGCACTGTGATTTGCTACAAGGCTACACTGGAGTTATGCTACACTTTGGAAACAATCACACTCATGTATCTCTCTCTCTCCCTTTCTCTCTCTCTGTCTCTCTCTCTCTCTCTCTCTCTCTCTCTCTCTCTCTCTCTCTCTCTCTCTCTCGCTCTCTCTCTCTCTCTCTCTCTCTCTCTCTCTCTCTCTCTCTCTCTCTCTCTCTCTCTCTCTCTCTCTCTCTCTCTCTCTCTCTCTCTCTCTCTCTCTCTCTCTCTCTCTCTCTCTCTCTCTCTCTCTCTCTCTCTCTCTCTCTCTCTCTCTCTCTCTCTCTCTCTCTCTCTCTCTCTCTCTCTCTCTCTCTCTCTCTCTCTCTGAATCACATACATTTCGATAGGGACGCGCCAGAGATATGGCATATATGTACACTATTTCCATAACAATTGGGAAGAGGAATGTACTTGTAGTTCCTTGGTCTTTCTCTTTTGTATAAATGGGAAGAGAGTAGTAATATTACCTCTAATAATCACCCACAGGGTGCCCAGTAGACTGAGGTGCCCGGAAGTTCAAGGTCCGGATAAAAGAAATATGCGTGTATCTATGCTCTATTTCCCGAGATTCCTTTACAAGAGTTAGTAGTAACCACTGCAAGATTAGTAAGAATGTGGGTCGCTTGCAGTATTCAAGCTGGCGTTTACCCCACGGACATGATTTTACAATTGGCTGCATGACTCACGGCACAAGTCAGGCCAGTTTCAAGCTGGCAGCAGAAGTGCTAGCTCAAAAGTTGCGAGCAACCGGCATTCCTATATGCGCGGGGTCGTATGACTGGCTGTATTTCACGGGTCTCCAACCATACACCAATGCAGTCGTGCATGCGACAATGTTCCCTGTCCAGATACAGTCTCTTGCAATGTTGTTATCAGTTAGAACGTTTTCTTGTCAAGAGAGGATGGGAGATCGATAGCCTAACAAAGTTGCATTGTGTATCACGTTCATGTGCTAACAGGTGGAGAACTTACGACCCAAGCTCTTCTCCAATGTCATAGTGGCGGGTAACCTTGTCATGAGATGCCATGGGGAATAGCCAGCCAGTGGCTTGTGGGCAGCCACTGGCATACTTCACCGATGATGATGATGATCCAGACACCACTGCTGCCTTCTTTGCCATCGCCAACCTCAGCCCTCTACCACCTGCTGCTGCTGTGGCTGCTCCTGTTTCTGATGCTGTTGCTGCTATGGCTGCTCCTGTTTCTGCTGCTGTTGCTGCTCCTGTTTCTGATGCTGTTGTGGCTGTTCCTATATTTTCTGATGCTGCTGCCCTATCTTTCTCATGCACGGTGTATGCACGCACCCTCTCTTCGCCTGCCTCCAATGCCTCTGCTGGGTACTCAAGACAACGCAGTGCAGATGTAGCAGCGTGCACCGCACAACACTCTTCCAATACCAGAATGCGGTGTACACAAAGCACGGGCTGTGTGTAGGGAATGGGGGTGGGAGTCACGCTATTGTGTGGCAAACCAAACCACTTAGCCACGGTCCAGCCGCCACGTACTGTTCAGCTTCTCTCTTTACCACCGCGGATTTCCCCCCTGCCGGAGGAGACTTTCTCTTCTTCCTAGCGGGAAGCTGGCCTCGCTGAGACGTTCTCTGCGATGGTGGTCTGTGATTACAATCCCAAACTTCACCACCAGAGACTTTGTGGCCTTCGCTTGTCACAACTACCGCACTACAGACAGCAATAGTTATGCCCGTGTTAGCATGCGTGGCTTGTTGCGCTGAAGAGTGAAGTCCAGTTGCATACTTGCTCACTTGCCCTAGTCATGACCATCCACTGTGCGGGTGGTGGCACACCGTCGTCGTTGTCCGACCACGCACACCACACAGGATGTCCCACGAACGACCGTTACCGACGCGTAGTCCAAAGCCAAAGGTCCAGCGCTATGATTATGGTATGAGCGAACACACCGTCGACTTGGTCAGGACGATGCGGAGCTCGCTGCCTGCGCTCAGCGGGTCGCCTACTGCACGTGGTGAGGCAGCTGACGAACGGGCACTTTTCGAGCATTCTGAATGCACAATGGTGCAGCACAGCATTTTCAACGATTTACCTCTCTCTCTCTCTCTCTGATCCGTATGATCCGCCAGAGAGGTACTAGGTTAGCTAATGTTTGCCTCGTCTTGCCGGTAGCAATCGAGGCAATCTCCAGAAGCAGCAGCAGTAGCCGCAGCAGGGCGAGCAGTGTTCAAGGCTGAAGTGCCAGGCGCTCACAGCAGCGCATCCCTGCACTCTTCGCCTTGCGTCCTTTGACCAGCACTTCCCATCTTGTTCACATGTTTGCACTTGGTCGATTCAGGAAACTTCCGATTCTGCTCGCAGAGGATCAAACAGAGCCGGGTACATGCAGTACCTTTTCTATCAAGTGACCAGGCAGTGGTGACTGGAGTCGAGACGCCGATAGTGTGCTTTCGCCATGGTACACACAGTACCAATGATTAAAGGGAAACTGAACGCCAAAAATAAGTATGGCTTATCCGAAGGGGAATGGACCGTATGCGTGTTAAAACAAAATGGCGTCACGATTTATTGAAAGTGGTATAGTTGGTGGAACGAGTGTTCAAACCCATTTGAACTTCATACTGTTCGTCTTCTTTTTGACATGCTCTCTTTCCATCGTCCTTAGCTTTTGTTTGTTGAGAGCTGTTTTGGCTTTCTCCTATACCTCTGGGGGATGCGAAGTGATGGTTTTGAGAGGCTGGTGATGGCTGTGAGCGAGAGTTTGCCGATCGGCGTCGTCCTCGCTATAGCGATGAAAATACTAGTTACTGCGCACCTGGCACATATCACAACACGTCGGAGCGTCCAGGAGCAAAGGAATCTTGGGTTTTCACTGGAATCTAGTTCCTCCAGCATCGTGTAGCCCACCGTCGGTGAATGGCGGTCCAGAAAGGTCGAACCTGGTCTTCTGCAGCATCTCGCAGTCCTGCGAGGCACACTGAATACGCCTGTCATGTATTCTACAAATAAAAATCACGAAGTTGTGGACTTTACAGTGATGAGTCTATCCTGTATGCTGCAAGAGACGCAGGAAATGTGACTGGTGTCCGTACACTGGACGCCAATATCATCCCAGTCTTCTCCTGCAGGATCTGTTTGACATTGACATACCGGTATGCAGTGGGTCGACATTGGCCTGGTTTGGCAGCTATGTGCCTGGGTGGATGTAGCAGGTTTGCATTGGCGCGTCGTCCAGTCCGACATTTTCTTGTAACTGTGGAGTACCGGCAGGGTCTGAGAGGTTGCTCGTGCTGTGAACACATCTCTACTGCCTGTCTCGTCCTGGAAGTGCCGTCTCGCCGCTTCCTTGCTCTACAGTCACGCCGTTATTTCGCTTTGTTTCGTAGTGCAGCTCAAAACCTGCCCAAACAACTGTGAGCTCGCAACATGGTATGGACAAATTGCACCACTCATGCTGGTTAACTAAAACCGGGATAGTCGAGTAAGCGAGTTCACTCCCTGGGCCATGGCAAGATCTGTTCAGCGCGGGCTATTCCAACCTCCAAGTGCATAGTCACCGATCGATCCATGCGATGGTGGTTGACCTACAAAGAGCCAAGGTCTACGAGTACTACTATTGGATGCTGTCTACATGCAGTCAACAAAATCAAAGTACCTCAGTATGCCCCAGAACAGGGCATGTGCATCTATTGCATGACACAACAGGGGTTCTGGCGGCACCTGTCAAACAAGCAGTAGCGACTAGTGCCAGCTACCTATTGGAGGCTAGCCGCTACAGTCTGTCACTGGAGATAATTATTATGTTCACTGTTTACACGGAGCACAATCAATGATGCCCAATCAATCTGCCCAATGTGTGTTCTGTTCCACCTAATTATAACGTCCCATCGCATCAACCCTACTACACGCACATGTCGTCACTCTAGCACGACTTGTGTTATTATTGTTTATTTTGATTCGCACGATAAATAGAGCACAATAAACGTTAACTTGACCGAAGGTTAAAGGCGACTGCAGATAGAGGAACACGTCGAGGTACAGGTGCCGGCATCAATACAGTATCAGAGAGGTACGCAGAAAAAACTCTCGTAAGCCCAAGGGGAAGTGGTTGATGAGGGATGAATGCACTCTCCACGCTCGTCTACACTGTTCGTGGAAATGCACACATACATACAATAATATACAACATAGCAATAGCATGCACAGAACCGAACAATTTCATGTTCACACATGCAAGCACAGACCTGAACATTAGTACCAAAAGCCGATACAGACAATATCCCCATACACACAGACGCACACACACACAATGTCCCATGTATGCGCCCGTGGCGAGAAAAGCACGCAGATCTAAAAATGCACTGGATGTGAACCCACAGATTTTCTCTAATAGCAATGATAGCGGATCTGATTCTGAATGAAACACACACACAATACAATTATTGAATGCCCATCCGCAGATGATGGCAGGTCCTGAAAGAACAGGCAGTGTTCCAGTGATGGGGAACAGAACTTCGAGTGGCGAGTGAGGTATACACACACACGTGCGTGCGCGGGCACACACCAAAGTATGAAGAAATAGAATCGACATCGTAGTATTCATTGGTTGGGGAATGGAAAGGAAAATAAAACATTGCTGTAGGTTATTGTTTGTAAGGACACTGGGAGCACAACAGAAAGGTAAGCAACTTGCTTTGAAGCAAAGAAAGTTATTATTCCACGGATCTCAGAAGGAAGGAACGTTCCAGAATGCTGCACTGGCAACAGGCGGCCTGCATGTGCGCGGCCCCTGCAGTCGGTCCAGCTGCCGGCCTTGCAGTGCTGAAAAGAATGTGCAGTACAGCATGTCACATAGTATCGCAGCCTGGACAAATAGACGCTGGGAAGTCCTAGTTATGTGCTCACCTACACCACGATGCACCAATCTTCTGAGCTACTTTGGCAACAATTTTGTCCACTTGAGACTCCCATGGGCTGAGCCAGTTGTTGAGGGCTGCATCAAGGTGGACGGCAATGACCGCTGATGGCAAGGCAATCCATGACACACAGTCACTAGGGCATCGTCAACATGGCGCTGAGGCTGGATGAATAAAATCAACCTTTAGGCTGCCGCGGGATTGACAACGAGGCCGCTGTCTCGAAGCTAGTCAGTCAGCCTGGTCACCGCCATTGACGAACCAGTCGCCACCGCCAGCAGTGGCGGTAGGTTGTGACAAGTATGGTGCAATATTGTCAGCAAATTCAGTACTCAGGATAAGATGAGTGACAAAGGGAACGTTGTGTTTGATAATATTGAAGTGAACAGGGATGATCGCAAACCCTGCGCGTACTCCACTGTGAGTTACAAGAAAATTCCGGACTGGACGACGAGCAAACACCAACCTGCTCCATCCAACCAGGCAGATACTATAACGATAGCTGCCAAACCAGGTCAATGCCGACCTACTGCATAATGTCAATGTCAAACAGATCCTGCAGGAGAAGACTGGGGTGTTGGCGTCCAGTCACTGAGTGTACAGACACCAGTCACATTTCCTGCGTCTTTTGCAGCATACAGGATAGACTCATCACCAGATCACTGTAAAGTCCACAACTTCGTGATTTTTATTTGTAGAATACATGACAGGCGTATTCAGTGTGCCTCGCAGGACTGCGAGATGCTGCAGAAGACCAGGTTCGACCTTTCTGGACCGCCATTCACCGACGGTGGGCTACACGATGCTGGAGGAACTAGATTCCAGTGAAAACCCAAGATTCCTTTGCTCCTGGACGCTCCGACGTGTTGTGATATGTGCCAGGTGCGCAGTAACTAGTATTTTCATCGCTATAGCGAGGACGACGCCGATCGGCAAACTCTCGCTCACAGCCATCACCAGCCTCTCAAAGCCATCACTTGGCATCCCCCAGAGGTATAGGAGAAAGCCAAAACAGCTCTCAACAAATAAAAGCTAAGGACGATGGAAAGGGAGCATGTCAAAAAGAAGACGAACAGTATGAAGTTCAAATGGGTTTGAACACTCGTTCCACCAACTATACCACTTTCAATAAATCGTGACGCCATTTTGTTTTAACATGAATATCGCGGATTGGGCACTGATTCCGATGAGCTATGTCTCGAGCCGATCAGAGAAGAGGAACCGTGTCAAATTTCATAAATAACACCTTCCATATTTGGAAATTGGGCTTGATGACGTGCGTACTGCTTAGCTGTCACCATGCTGTGCATGCTCAGCAGTGTAATTGAATGGAAGAAAACAATTACTTTGGTGTTTTGCAGCTCTATTTCGTTCCCTGACGGTAACCAAATCTAGATGTAGGTATCTGTTGAGCAGGAGAGTGACACATGTCTTCCCGAAGGCTGTCCAGGCTGCAGTGGTGATGAAGAAGACACGATCATCACCCCGAGATCGATTGTAGCGAATTGGAAAACTCATGGTGAATTTGCTTCCACTCCAAGGCAATGTCGAGGTATGAAGGGTGCTTGTACTGCCTTCCAAAGTGAAGAGGAGATGAACATGGCTGTGCATAGCTGTTGTTCTATGCCAACTTACTTACCTACTCTTGCTGGTACCGTAGACGTAGTGCTATATTGCGAATTTCGTGGACGAACAACTCTAGTCACTAGTGGCTAGTGAGCAACACTAACAGGTGAGATTTTTCAATTTGACAAAAATTGTTTTTGTTTGAGAACTGACAGTGGTAGTCATTAGACTCAGTAGGTGTCTCTCTGCTGCTTCTTTCCCTTCATCGGTAGGGTTGTGCTTGAAGTAAAAATAAATAGAAAATGTGGAACAAAAATCTGATCATGTAGTTCGAATTTCAACTTCAAAGTATGTGTACATCAAATCACAAAAATTTCAAGGTGGTGCTGTGCATTGAAAAAGACTGGGAGCTGGCAGCAATGGAAAGGGTAGAAACGAAACCAGCAATGTAGAGTATTCATAAGGTAGAGGGAGCTGAAAACGGGAGAAGAGTAGTGAGCATTTCAGTTCGAAGTAGTGTAAATAGACAGCATTGTGTTGTGAATATTGTGTGAATCTAATAATTGGCGGAGGGTAGTGATTAGGCAGAGCATTGTTACAATACAAGGTACTTTGTGAGCAGATAGAAATCAATATCACAGCATGGTTTAGACAGGAACCCATAAATGGCACGAAATTGCTAATCCAAATATATTATCCCCTGAGTATGAGTAGTATTTTTTATTATGGTGTTCTCCTGTGTTTACATGCAGAGCCTTGACGTTGCTGGACGAGCGACAATATAAATTACATAAACATGTAGCTCATGATGTGGAATGACTGCCGTATCGCATTGCCAACGCAAACCCATCCTGTGTCAGTG